AATCCTACTGGATGATTTTCAAAAGCTGTTCTTGTCCAGAAACTCATTCGGCTCCTCATGTAGCCGAGTGAGCCCCAGTGTGATAGAGGTCTCACTGCATGCCAGATAGAGCCCCCAGGGCCAAGGGTGGCACCCATAAGCCCTCCATCTCTGGGTACCCCATGCACAGTCTCACGCTGTTCTGCCACGTTTCCCGATGTAGACAGAGGTGACATTTCAACAGGGGACAGGGTATGTGGTGAAGGCCTAGACTTTCAGAAGATGCTTCCTGTCTCTGCTTTGCAGCCCTCAGCTGATTCAGACACCTGAGTCCGTTTCTGCTGCTACTTGGCTCCTTTCTTAGCTATTAGGTGTTTTTTTTGTTGTTGTTTGTTTACTTGTTTGTTAGTTTTTAACTGCTATCCTTTGTTGTGTAGTTTGAATGACTTTCAAATATGAGAAATTAGCATGCTTATTCCTTTAAAGATCTTCTGGCTTCTTTGAATAGCTTCTGCTTGCTGTTTTAGTGACTCTCCTCTACACATTCCAGTTCTGAAAGTTTTCAAGAATATAGTGATTTTCCTACACAATACATGCCGTGAAATACACTTGCTATTTTGATTGCAGTACCTGTCTGCTTTGAGAAAATATCATATGTAGATGATATACTGAGGTGAGACTCTGCTTTAAGAGATTCTAAATGTTTAACATTTGAAATCCTAGGCAAGAGTTGGATTATTATTATACCCTTTTAATGTTATAAAGAAGTGGCATATGGTTTCTATTAACAGGGCAGCTGAATACTAAAATATGATCGTAAAAAGTATATTAAAGAATGAACCAAGAGGGTTGTGACTTTTGTTACATCTGTGACATTATTTCTCAAAAACTACTTTTTAAAAGAAGTTTGAAGGATCATCATTTGTTTATTTTTAGGATATTGTGTATGTGAGAATTATGAGATAGGCTTTTCAAATCTAGGAAAAAAGAGCCTTTAAAATGCTGGAATGTTTAATACTAAAATGTTAATACCCAATTATAATTGTGACTTATGATGAAATAATAATCTAGGGGCCTATTACTGATAGAAAAGTTCATTCATATTGTTCATTCAATAAGCATTTATATGTATTTGTAGCCATTTAATGCATTTTAGGACTTTATTCGAGGAAGTTTTAAAAAGATCAGGGAAAAGACGAATTTATTCTTTTGGAATTTGAAATCCATGCACGGTTTTTCTATGAGCTTTTTCCATTTTCTATGAGTTTTTTGAAAGCCCCTCATGTAACAAGAACACACACACACACACACACACACATATATAAAACCTCTTGGGCCTGGCGCACAGTGGCGCAGTGGTTAAGGTCCTTGCCTTGCACTCCCGGGATCCCATATGGGCGCCAGTTCTATCCCGGCAGCCCCGCTTCCCTTCCAGCTCCCTGCCTGTGGCCCGGGAAAGCAGTCGAGGATGGCCCAAGGCTTTGGGACCCTGCACCCATGTGGGAGACCCAGAAGAGGCTCCTGGCTTCGGATCAGCAATCATCGGACGGAAGATCTTCCTCTCTGTCTCGCCTCTCTGTATATCCGCCTTTCCAATAAAAAATAATAAAAATAAATCTTTAAAAAAACCTCTCCCAAATTATCACATTAAGATTTTAGCAAAGAATTTAAAAGGACAGTAGAATGCTGTAATGAGATTTTGTAGTTCATTATTTTTAGATGACTTTCCTAACTTAGATGTGATATAAATGAAAGGTTAAGAGAATTGATTTGCATTAGATATACATGGATGTGAATATTGATCACTGTGTAATCAATGGTGATCCTAGACAAGTTATTTAGTCTCCTCAAGTTTTCTATTTTATACTGGAGACATAGGTTACAAAAAGTACTACTCTGTATGGTTACTGTAAAGATTAAAGGGAACAAAGCATGTAATATGCTGATAAGGTTCCTGGACTTTAGTAAATGCTTACACCTAATAAACATTACTATTTCAATTATCGAAGTCTTACAGTTATTAAAAGTAGGTAGGAAAGTGATTCTTCCTGTCTTGTAGAGGCAAGAGAAGGAGGCTCAGGGAAATGATTTGTCATTTTTCTGTAACAGGAAGCAGAATAAGTGACAGAATGGGAAACCAGAGGGAAACGGATTTGTGTTTTCTGGACAGTAATCTCAATGCAACTTAATAGTTTCTGATTTTTATGTCCTTTGAGACTCAGGGAAATATTTTGTGTCACTGTAACTATAAACATAACTTGAAGTCACTCGAAGCAGGGAGAATGTTAGGACATGTCCGTACTCCTGAGTATCTGTGGTGGTACCATGCTTACTTAGTGTTGGCGAATTGGCTTCATCTTTGTGTTTGCTCTCCTCTTGTGACTATACTAGGCTACTGCCTTTCCCCTTGAACTAAGTATTGTTAATAGTTTCTTCATTAGCATGAATGTCAAGATTCTATTTTTTTTTAAAATATCTCCATTCTTTTCTAATATATAGCTTATAGTGTTTCCTCCACCCCCATATTTCGTTCATTGATTTGTTCTTCAAAGCAATCTTTAATTAAGTCACTTGTTTAAGTACTGTGAGCCACTTTCATCCTTGAAGGTGCAGGATGGTTAAAGCTAGTGTCTGGACTTACAGGACTCTTAATTCTGGTGAGGAAGGTGGCGATGAGCAGTGTGGTGCAGTGGGTTAAGTCAGCTCCAGGGACACCCACATCACGTATCGGAATGCCTGTTTGAGTACTTACTGCTCTGCTTCAAACCCAACTTCCTTCAAATGTACCCGTGAGGTGGCAGAAGAGGTTCAAATACTTGAAGTCCTGCCACCCATGTGAGGCTGCTGTTTGACCTGCTCCAACCCTGGCTGTTGTTGACGTTTGAGGAGAGACCCAGTGCCTGAAAACTTCATATTCATATTTATATTCTCTCTCTCTCCTTCCCCTCTTTCTCGCCTCTTCTCCTCTCCTCTTTCCGCTCCTCTCTCGCTCCACTCCTTACCTCCCTCCTTTCTGTTCCCTCACTCCCCTCTCTCTCTCTCCTATTACAAATAAATCTGTGTACAAATTTTAACAAGTAGATAAACAAGTAAACCTGTTTACGTACATCTTGAGATTTGATTAAATGTACATCATTGAGCAATATTAAAGGAAATACCATCAAAGATGAAAAAATGAAGCAGTAAATGAAAGTAGAAGCAGACATGGGACCCAAGGAGAGAAGCCATCACTGCTGTTTTGAGACTCCTGAGAGGACTTTTGAAAGAAATAGTGTTTAAGCTGCATTTTTTAGGGCAAAGGGGAATTAATAAGGCACTTTCTTACTTTTATCTCTCAGCAACTAAGTTATGTTTCTTAACACGTGGAATATTTCTTATCTTTTCACCATTTTCCCTCGCCCAAAAGCATATAGAATTGTTCAAATGTCTAGTTTTTCAAAATTTTCCCAATTAAGATCTTCATTTGCATATAGTTGGCAAATTCTCAAACTTTAACATTGTACAAAGTTGTCTCTGTGACAAGTTTTTTCTTTTTGAAAATAATATTTTTTTAAAAAGTTCCTTTGAAATATTGGATTCTATTTGGACACATGTGAAACATTTTTTTGAAAGATTTATTTACTTATTTGAAAGGCAGAGTTAGAGAAAGGGAGAGACAGACTGAGGTGGAAGAAGAAGCAAGAGAGAGAAACACGTTTTGCATTCACTGGTTCACATCTCAAATGGCTGCTGCGGCAGCTGCTGGGCCGGGCCAGAGCCGAGAGTCAGGAGCATCTTCTGGATCTCTCTACTGGGTGCAGGGACTCAAGTTCTTATGGCCATTCTCTGCTGATTTCCCAAATGGGAAAGCAGGGTGCAGGATCGCAAGTGGGGTATCCAGTTTTTGAACCAGTGCTCATATGGTTTACTGGCATTGTAGGTGACAACTTTACGCACTAATTGTGACACTGACCCCATGAAGCATGTATTTATTTTTTAAAAAGATTTATTTTATTATATTTGAAAGAGTAACATACAGAGGGATGTTCCATCTGTTCGTTCATCCCCCAAAGGGCTCCCATATCCAGGGAAGGGAAAGGCCAAAATCAAAAGCCTAAGATCCCATCTGGACCTCCCACTTTGGTGACAGGAACCAAAATAGTTGAGCCATCTTGTGCTGCTTTCTGAGGTGCATTATCAGCGCAGCCAGGACTCTAACCTGGTACTCAGATATGGGAATGCTGGCATCACAAGCAGAAGCTTAACTCGGGGTGCACCATTCAAACCTCTGGTTAAAGTATTTGATGGACATTTTATTATTATTTTTTAAAAGAGGCCTACTAGTAATTTGAGTTTTTTTTAAATCACTACAAGTTGCTTTAGAAATTAAATCAAATGATATCAAATATAATTAAACAGGATTGTGGAGATCCAATAGTCCTCTACTATTGAAGTGAGACTGTAAGTTACCAGCTCTTACCTGTGTTATTAATTTTATGTTACTTGGTGTAATATCGGCATATTCTTGTGTTACATGAAATATTCTGTTATGTTTTCCCTACAGTATAGGACTCATTCTTAAAAATGAGCTTATTTTAGCTCCTTTGTCTTAGAACATTTGTTTTTTGGGTGGATTGAAAATTGCACTACCTCAGCTCATTTAAAAACATCTTGTTTGTTTATCCATCTGCGTGTCCCTGTTAAGTTTGAAATTTAGGTCAAATGAGAATTTGAATTTAACTTTACTACAGAAAATAAGTGTGCCATATTTAAAAACTGCAGCCTAAATTTTAAGCACAATAGATCAAAGTACATCTTATTTAAGTAAATATGCTGGAATGAAGTTCCAATTATTTTTTCCCGAAATTTCTTACGGTAGTTACTGTTCTCAATGTAAAATCTGAGACTTAGGCTTATTATTTTCAAAAAGATGAAAAGTTATTTATTTTAAAATTTTAATGATTTTGCTTTCAGACTATGGAAATTCTCCTTTGGGGACAACGTTATTTGAATTGTAGGTGACATTATTTTTATTTCTTAAGGCCATGATTAAAAGTTTCATGGATGTCTACCAGCTTGCAAGCGCTAGAATCGCCACATTGGAGAAGGAAATGACATCGCATCGAAGTCACATTGCAACTCTGAAATCTGAGCTTCACACCGCTTGTCTCCGTGAAAACGAAAGTTTACAGTCAGTAAGTCCCTGTCGCACAGTATGTTTCTCTTCTTTGGATCTTGGATCACATTTACAATTATTATTTTATTGTTCATAAGATCATTAGGCCATATGTGTAATTTCGGGTAGATAATTGATCAAGCAACATAAAATTAGTGTGGGGAAAAATTTGAAGGAGGAAAAGCAATTAACTTTCCAATGTATCATGTGTAAAGATATGTGTATTTGTATGACTGTAAAATACTGCATCAAGATTCCTTTGTGTTTGGCAGGGCAGCTGACAGATTTGGTGGAGTGCAGAGTTAAAGCTTGCGACTGAACATTCAGTGTGTCCCATTAAGACGGAATTTTATTAATTATGTGTATAACCAAAATGGTAATTAGAACATGTGATTATTCTCTGTAGAAAACTAGACTTATCCATTATACATGCCTAGCTAAAGTTGCATGTTGTGATTCATCTATATGATTAAAATTCAGTTTCAGCAGTCATTTTATGTTTTAAAATGTTAGCCCATGATGAAATTTGGGCTCATTTAAGACTAAAAACAAACAAACAAAAAAGCATTCTCCACTTGAAAATATGTGTTTGGGGAGTTTTAAAAAATGAATATATTTGTGGCATTAAATAACATGTTTTTTTCCTTCGAAAGGCAGTGAGAGCAACAGTGAAATTCAAAGGATTCCCACTTCCCTTTTTGCTTTGACTGCAGTGGATCCGGGTGACTTGTAAAGACAAACAGGATCATTTTGCTTTTTAGCTGTTGACCTGTTTCCAATGATAACAGCAACAGACAGGGAGTTAGCCTGAGATCAGATAGATGCATGGCTGTAGTTTGGCTCCAGTGTCAGCACCCCGGCTAAGTCTTTGTGACGGAGCTCCGTCCCAGGCCTGTCTCCCACCCCAGGCACTCACTCTTTGTCCCTCTTTCATCGGGTCGTCTCTCCACCTCCCGTCTTCCTTGCCTCCTCATTTTCTCCTATTGTGGCTCCTGTCATCAACATGATGTATTTTACTTATTTGTTTGTTGTCTGTTTTCTCCTTGAAGACAGCAATCCTGGGTGTTTTCTTCACTGTTGTGGAGGTGCTCTAGTGCCAGGAGCAGTTTGGTCCACAGTAGGTGATCAACAAATACTGAATGAATAATACTCGTCATTTATCTAGCAAATATGAAAAACCAGTAATTTGAGACTTGAGACTTGAGTTAAATTTTAAAATGATATAAATTTTTAAATGAGAGATTAGTAAATTTATTCATTACCAAAATAAATTAAAATAACGAGGATTTTTTTTTTAATTTCAGTGTTTGTAGAGTTTATGCTCATGCTTCTCTGAAATATATTCACATTTCTTCCCGCTGACTCCCTGATGCCATTGGTTAAAATTGCACCATACTATTTAAGTCAGCTTTGTTGTGTTACATAGTTGTATGTTGCTTGTTGCTGTTCAAAAATACTCGTATGTAAGAAAGGCCAAACTTGATCAAGCCGTCCTTCTGAGGTGCCTGCAGGATATACTTATTATCAGAAAGAAAGAATTGCGTTTTTAAGGTGCAGGTCACCTTGGCAGTGACTCTCAACAGGGTGTCGGGTAGTGTGAAACGCTGCTTGAGGTGATTGATGTATCCTGGGAGAAGGTTGCTGTAATTCTCTGCAGACAGTGTGGTGTCCTATCTCTTGTTTTATTTGAGAATCACAGTTTTCAAACAGTAACAAATGTGTCTAAGAATTTTTAGTTTTCAAAATATGTGTCAATGCGTTTCCTAACTTGAATTTCCTAAGGGATGTGGGAGACAGACCTTAGTGTCTGTATTTCACAGATGAGCTGTTTAGTGGCTGAGAGCGTGTAGCCTGGGAACAGCACCTGTGAGGAATAATGTCAAATGTAAATAATAAAAACCCTAACCCAACAATATGGCTTTCAAAAGCAGAAAATGGAGCCTGGTGTAGTAGCCTAGCAGCTAAAGTCCTTGCTTTGCATGTGCAGGGATCCCGTATGGTTGCCAGATCTAATCCCTGCAGCCCCATTTCGCATAAAGCTCCCTGCCTGTGGCCTAGGAAAGCAATCAAGGATGACCCATAACCTTGGAACTCTGCACCTGGGTTGGAGACCCAGAAAAGGCTCCAGGCTCTTGATTTTGGGTTGTCATTGCAGTCATTGCAAGTCATTGCAGCCACTTGGAGAATGAATCAATGGATGGAAGATCTTCCTCTCTTTCCTCCTCTCTGTATATTTGACTTTCCGATAAAAAGAAATAAATCTTAAAAAATAAAAAAGCAAAAGATTTTCTCACCTAGCAAGAAGTCTAGAAGTAGGTGCCTACTGTTTTTAGTTGAGTAGCTCAACCATTTTTGCGATTTCTCTGTCATTTCTTCTAGGCCATTAGATTGCATTCCACTCAGCTTTAGGATTCACAGGTATCTTCAAAGAGGAAGAATTGATGGCTCAGGCTCAGCAGGCTCATCTGTACGTTTATTGGCAGGTGTTATCTCACTTTTTCTTTTTAAGGTGAAGAGTCTTTCAAAGAAGCAAGGAAGTTTATTTATGTTTCACTAGTTGGAAACATATTATGTGACCATTGTAGCTTTGATTAGTCAGCACATAAGGAAATAATGAGTGAATATTGTATTAGCCGGTTACCCAGTGTGTACCACAGAAGACAGGTAGATTTGGACTCAAATTTCCGTTTTGTTGATGGCTAATCATGTGGCTTGGATTTCAGGGTTTTTGGATTTAAAATCAGAATGAAATCCTGCTATCTCGTAGAGGTGTGTTAAAGTGCTTTGGACTTTGTGAGTACTCAGAAAATTGCTTGTTTTTAATCAACATTGCTTTGATGGGAAATTCATGCGTTACAAATCAGGGAACAATTATCTACCTCCCTGTTCTCAGCTGCAGATGTCTTCATCTGTTCTGTTTTTCTCCTGTAGCTCTGAGCACGGAGCTCCTTCCGTGGTTGCCATCGAGACTCCAATGTCTGGACTCTTCTTTTTCTGCAGCGTTTCTCTACTTCCACTGACAGACTTCTAGAAAGTTGTCTCTTTCCTGCTTCCCTGTACTCCCCTTCCGTTTACCTCTGAGTCTGACTACTGTCCTTAATTCTACACTCGCTCTGTCTTTTAGTTCGTCGTCATTCCTTTCAGCCTTTCTGCAGGGTGTGGTATGGGACTTTGAACTACTGCTTTTTATAAACACTCATCTCCTTGGCTTAATTAGTTACATACCTTTCCTTTCTGACTCTCAGGCCTCTGATTTCTTGCACTCATCCTGTTTGATGTTATTCTTGGTGAATTTTTTTCTGCATTCATTAATCCAGAATATATTGAGCAACTAATTTTGTGGTGATTTTGTTCTGTTTTGGGGATATCGTGTGAACCAAATCAGTCCTTTTTCTAGTGAACTTATAAAGTGGAAATAATCATTTTTGTGTAATCATACTATTTAGTCTGTAATTACTAACCGCAGTAATACCAACCGTATTCCTCTTTAGGTGATATTTTTATTTCTTTTTGTTTGGCATACAAGGATGCCAGAGTTTGTCTAAGATTTCTTGTCAATTGTCCCCTTGTCAGTACTTTCACTTTTCCAGGTTGTTGGTCTTTGACCTATTCACTTAGGGCGCTCTAGAGCTTTTATCTTGAGTTTTAATAATGAGAAAGGGCTCTGAGCAAAGAGCTTTTGAGTCCCATGCAGCCCAGTAGAGCAGTCAGAACCAATTACTTTTGGATGTTTGGAGGGAGGTCGAAGCACCCACAGCTGTGGGGAAATTTGATATTTCAATCTGTGAAACATAGGATCCCAAACCCAAGTATTTTCCTGTAAGCTTTGGGACTTCTAACTGCAGGATGGATTTGCCCCATTTCCACTGTATGTCTGAGTAGGGTGTTTCCAATTCTGTAGGACTGATGAGAAAATAACAAAGTAGCATTTGGCTTGGTATCTTTGCATCATTATGCAGATTATGTCAGATTATGTCAGCAGTCACAACTGCTTTTATATGGTTGTCGCTAGTAAAGGTAAAAGATTTAGGTATTTTAGTTAAGATAAAATAATGCTCTTTCACTTCATTTGCCACATACATTTTCTTGAGATGAAAAGGATTATTTATTCGTGATTTGTTCATAAAAGAAGTTGACATGGAACTTAATTAAGAACTGTCTTCAGGTAAGTTGTTTTCATAAAATTTCAATACTTTATCTCGATTGATTTGTGATATTCTGAAGGTCTTGAAACCTTCAAGAATTAAAAACAAACAAAACCTTGCTGTGCCTCATTCAGTTGAGAATGTCTGTATGGTATAGTACCATGGGTGCATGCGCAGCTCTGAGTCCAAGCCCTTTCTTTTTCATTTAAACCTGATCAAATTAGACTCCACAGATTCCTTTCTGGTACTTCCCCAAGGGACTACAGCATGAAATGAGATGAATCTATGCCGTAAGACCCTTCCGGTGCAGCAGACAGCATGATTGTTCCACAGATACTAACTTAAGTGAGAAAAGACCCACCTGAAAAAGTGAAATCTTTGCTGAAAAATGAAGATAAAGTAGGAGCTGAGAGGGGAAAGTATGGGCTGCCCTTGGAATTGAAGTAGGACGGGCCAGAGTGCATTAGGTGAGGGATGGCGCCAGGGGAGCAGGGGCCAGATCAGTGAGCCTATTTCTTGTGGTGTCTGGCCTTCTGAGAAATTCTCCCACTGAGCTGTCGCTGACAGGTATATTACTATACCCCACTCACTTTATGCATTTTCCTGACTACACATTTTACTTTTTTTTCCTTACATTTCATTCCATAACAACACTTGTTTTACTTTTTTTTTTTTTCCTAAAAACTGATTACTAGGATGCACTTGAAAATCTTCCACATTGTTAGGATTGCCAGTTATGGCCTTTGGATCCCAAGAGAGTTGTGTAAGGTATGAACAGAATGTCACAAGATAGACGAGCTCAGTCCACGCACGACCAGCCAGCATGCTATTAAATTCTCCTGATCATTGCCATATACTTCCAAACTTTTCAAGG